GAAAGTAGAAGGTAAGAGGGTACGTTGAGAGGGGAGGTAGAGGGATGAGATAGGAAAACAAGAGGTGGGGGAGAAAAGTGGTCAGAAAACAGAGATCAAAAGGAGGGAAGAGGAAAAGGTTTAGAATAGTGCTCTATATGTATTAGGTGACCCATAAACATTTGCTGAATTAAAATTTAAAAATATACATATATACATACACATACATGTGTATGTATATATATATGTATACATGTATATGTATATATACACACACACATATACACACACATGCAGAAAGGAGGCCAGAAGGGAAAAGGACGAAGGTTGCCAGAGAGGTCAGCCTTTTGAGATAAGTAGGAAAAAGGGATAGTGGGCAGCCTAGAGGAAGTCGTGTGTGTGTGTGTGTGTGTGTGTGTGTGTGTGTGTGTGTGTAGGGGGGAAGATAGATCAGAGAAAATGGAGATAGGTTGGATGGGGAGAGGTTTACAGGAAGCAGGAATCAGAGGAAGGGAAGGTTGGGGCAGAAATAGGTAAGGGGCAAGGAGATTGAATGGCAGAAAGGTGGTGAAGGTTCAGGGGAAAGAGCAAAGAGGTCAGTGGAAGTAAAGGGGACAAGTAGAATCTTCAGAAGATGCAAAGGACCTAGGTGAGGAATAAGAGGACCATCCTAAGAACAAAACAATCATACACAAACTCTTCAGGGATAGAGTCAGGTGGATTAAAAGTCTCTGATAACCTGGCTCTGGAATCATAGGTTCATAGATTTAGAGATAGGAGGGACTTTAGTGATCGTGTTGTCTAACCCCTCATTTACAGATGGAGAAACTGAGGCCCAGAGAAGTTAATTGTTTTGCACATCAGTTCTGAACATAGCCATAACCATACTGAGACATTATTCCTCAGTACAAATCTATCCTTTCCCTTAATCACTTCTATATGTGTCCTATAACTATTCCTGATGTCCTATTTAACACCAAATTCCTGCATATTGGATTCACTCCTAGGCAAGCTGCCCCAGAACCCTCCAGGTCAGGCTTGGCCATTCTTGCCTGGAAAATATGGTTTGGGCCCCTGAGTGGCCAAGACTGTCTATAGCATTTTACATGGCCAGGACAGAAAATGGGCCTAGGGCTGGAAGGAGGGGAGCTTAGGTGGGTGAGCCAGCACTAAGGCCTGGCGGAGAGGGATGGAGCAAGGAAATGCTGATGGACAGAAAACCTTGAGTGGGGCCTGTGCGTCGGACTCCAGCCCCCGGCTGCTGCGCTTGGTGTTGACACGTTTCCGGCGCTTTCGAAGGACGATGTAGATCTGAACGTAGACGAGCAAGGTAACGATGAAGGGCACGTAGAAGGAGACAATGGAGGAGTAGACAACGAAGGCAGGATTGGCAATGATGCAGTCTTTCTGATCTGGGGAAACAACAGCAGACAGAATGGTCAGCTGGGCTCAGTTTCCTCAGCCTGGCATTCAGGGCCTCTCCATAGTCCACCCCACTCGACCTTCTCTCCCACTGCTCCCCAATATAAATCTTCTGCTGCCATGGTTGACTTCCCACAGCTCCCCAGCAGTTTATGGTCATTCCATCATTTGAAATTATTTCTCTGTCCCTTCTTCCTAGCCAAATTTCTCCCATACTCAAGCCTCACCTCCTCCATGAAACCTTTCCTGATGATCTCAAGCCCTCGTGTAACCTTCTAGTCTCCGAACTCCTTGAGCGCTCATAGATAGTACTGAACATCAGCTCATTGCAAGCAGGAATTGCTTACCCTTGAATTTATATTCCCAATGCCTGGCATATAATATAGTAATAACTGTTTGCTGATTGATAGATTGATTGAATGCTAAGTCCTTCCTTACTTAATTAACTTGGTCATGCCCTGCCTTGCTCACTAGTTGTCTCTTGTGACTCAGAATCAAAGATCTGGGACAGATCTTTGGCCATTTGGCCCAACCCCAAATGTAGACCTGAATACAAATTCTCTGTACGGCATCCCAGTAAGCAGTCACCCAGCCTCTGCTTGAAGCCCTCTACTGAGGGGAAACCTACTGCCTTCCAGGACGGACAATTCTTCTGTGGGATAACTATAAATGTTAGAAAATTGTTCCTTACATGGAAATTGAGATCTTTCCCTCTGCAGCTTCACCCATTACCCCTTTATTCTGCTCTCTGAGGCTAAGCAGACAGAACAAATGTAATCTTTGACCTAACAGTCCTTCAGGCAGTCAAGGACCGATATCATGCCCCTCCCTAATCTTTCTCCAGGCCAAATATCCCTAATTCCTTCAACCAATTCTCCAAAGCACAATCTCTGGTTCCTTCACTGTTCTTGTCACCCTCCTTAAATAACCTTGTATCCATAATTAAGGCCCTCCAGGGCATGGAATATATCTTACATTTCCATTGTGTTCCACACAACAAGTGCCATAGGTCTCTGGTGTGCAACAGGTCTCAGTCATTATTTAGATGAGTGCCTTCTAGCTCCACCAGATTTTCTCTAGACCAAGGCCACAGCCCCATTATAAAAAGCTCCTGAGATAAAAACCCACCTGATGGCATGTTAGGCAGACCATGTACACAGCATTCATTTGGGGCTGGGGGCAGGGAGGGAGTCTGGACTTGGGATTCCATTAGCATGAGTAAGTCAGGATTAGAAACTCCCTCCACTGATGCAGACCAATAACTACCCTGTGACTTAGAATCTTAGTTGCTTGGGGAGCCAAGAAGTTAAGTGACTGCCCGTGGTCAATATAGCCAGGACTGTACATATCCTGAAACTCCCCTCAAAGCACAGGTATCCCCCTGCTCAGCATCTGGAAGACATCTCCATCCCAACTGGTGCAGCATCTGGGCCTCTAGGTGCGCCAGGTAGATACGGCTGGCTTTACCTGTGTTGTTGAGTCCGAAGAGCAGTGGGCAGGAGATGGCAAAGGACAGGACCCAGACAACAGTGATCATGACGGTAACGCGGCGTTTGGAGCTGTAGCGGGTATTGTAGAGCATTGGCATTGCTACTGCTGTGTACCTAAAGTGGTCAAGGTCAGGGTGAGAGAGATGTTGAAGGAGTGAAAAGGGAGAAGGGGAAAAGGAGGAGACTATCTAATACTTCCTAGCTTCCTGGAGTACTCACCCATCTTTCAGGACCTAGCTCATGCCTTTCCTTTTTCACAAGATGACTCCAGCCTGTGGTCTATGTTCTCATGATCCATGATGGACTCCCCCTTCCCCCAACATAATGTAAGCTCCTTGAGGGCAGAATTGTTTTATTTTAATTTTGTCTATATCCTCACCCCTTAACAAATGCCTGTCATATATTAGGCACTCAATAAATTCTTACTTAACTGAGTTGAATCATTTGTTTGAATCTTCTGCAGAGACCATCTAACAGAGTGCTCAATTCAGTCAACATTTATTACACACTTACTATACAGCTGGTACTGTCTGAGAATACAAAGAAAGGCAAAAACATGGTTCCTACCCTCAAGAAGCTCACACTTTAATGTGAGAGATGACATATAGATGAGTACCCCTCTTAATTCCAGTGCCTTCCCTCATTAATTACTTGCTGCTTGTCCCATATATAGTTTACTTTATGTATATATGTATGTATATATATTTGTTTGCATGTAGTCTCTCCTAATGAGGGCAGGGACAATTTTTTGCCTCTTTTTATATCCACATATCTTAGCACAGTGCCTGGCACATAGTACATACTTAATAAATGTTTATTGATTGATGGATGGAAGTACATACATAGAAGATAGAGTATAAATGGAAGACATTTCAGAGGGAAGGCACTAGGAGAGGGAGCTACCAAGAAAGCTTCTTGTAGGAAACAGAATTTGAATTTGTTCTTGAAGAAAGCAATGGAAGCCAGGAGGCTGAGGGGAGGGGACAGAACATTCCAGGCATGGAGAACAGCCAGTAATAAGGCTCCAAGTTAGAAGATGATATATCATGAGAGAGAAATGGCAGGAAGGCCTTTGTAGCCAGATCATCAACATCCTGGAGTACATGGGAGGCAATAAGGTCTGAGAAGCCTGGAAAGGTAGAAAGGCACCAGGTTATGCAGAGCCTTAAATGCCAATCAGAAGGTTTTATATTTGATCCTGGAGGTAATACGGAGCCACTGGAATTAATTGAATTAAGGAGGGTGTGACACAGTTAGCCCCACATTTTAGGAATGTTAGTTCAACAACTGAGTGAAGATAGACTAGAGTGGGGAGAGGCTTGAAGGGAGACGAAGCAGAAAGCTATTCCTCATCAATAGTTGTTGTTTGTCCTTCATTCTCAAAGAGGGCCATGACATCAGGAAGATGATGCCATGACTTGCAAGTGAGTTGGATTTAAGTGAAGGAGGGCTGTGCAAAATCATCAGCCCTACTTTCTCCTCCAGAGCTGGGTCCAGTGGCAAGATGTAGATCAGGACAACTGGAGACGGCCCCATTGTCAATAGTCCAGAAGGGGGATGAGAAGGGTGTGCACCAGGGCATTGGCTATTTGAGTGGAGAAGAGGGGTCACATACAAGAGATGTTGTGACGGTAGACACCAAAATTAATACTTATCATTTAATCGATTCATATTTATTAGTTATAGATTGATTGAAATAAGCTCTGGTCTCAGTTCCCCAGCTTCCTACTGCATGTAGTCCCAGCAAGGATCCTCAGTCGATGCTCCCTTCCTACTAGTCATGAGATTGGGTTGTTGTTCTAAGTGCTCCCAGAAGCTCCATCATTCTCCTCCTCTACTTGTTCAGGGACCAAACTGCAAGGCTGGAAAATGGGGCCCCAAACTTCCTTTTCTCAGTGAAGTCGAGGATAAAATGAACTCCACTGGGTAAGGAAACAGCAGCATGCAGGGGAGTGACTCCTCTGCACCTTTCCCTCCTGCCCCTGATTTGGGCTCTCACCTGTCGATGCTGATGGCACAGAGGTTGAGGATGCTTGCAGTACACATCATGACATCCAGGGTGACAAAGACATCACAGTGAATCCGACTGAATTTCCACTCTCCCACCACCTGGGAAGAGAACAAAGCTTTGGTTTCTTCTGATACGACTCCCAGAACTCAGTATAATATTAGAGTTGTGTTCTAACTCGAGCAGAATATAGCAGGGCTATCATCTCCCTTGTTCTAGAGTACCTTAAACTCCTGTTAAAGTAGACTGAGATGAAATTAAATTTTTTGGTTGCCACATCATACTATTGATGCATATTGAGTTTACTGTCCACTCAGACCCTTAAATCTTTTTCCATTGTGTTAGCCTCTATCTTTTTTTGGATCTGGACTCTGTTATCCATTGTTAACTGTCTCTCCCAACTTCATGTCCTCTGCAGATTTTCTGGGCTCAACTTCAATCAAATAAGCATTTATTAAGTACTTTGTGGGCAGGTAGGAGTCAGGAAGGAGTCAGGAAAACCTGAGTTCAAATCCAGTCTCAGATACTAATGGTGTGGCCCTAGGCAAGTCATTTAACCCTCTTTGCCTCAGTTTCCTCATCTGTAAAATGAGCTGGAAAAGGAAATGACAAACCACTCCAGTATCTTCACCAAGAAAGCCCCAAAATGGGGTCACAAAGAGTTGGACATGACTGAATAGCAACAATGACATGTGTCAGGCACTGAAAATATAAAAACATAAATAAAAGGAGGGTCTCGGTCCCTCCTCTTAAGGAGGTACATGCTAACGATATCTTTATCCAGGGGTGGGGAACCTTTGGTCTCCAGGCCACATGTGGCCTTCTAGGTCCTTGGGTGTGGCCTTTTGACTGAGTCCAAGTTTTACAGAACAAATCCTTTTATTAAGGAGATTTGTTCTGTGAAGTTTGGATTGAATCAAAGGGTCACACTTGAGGACCTACAGGGCCACATGTGGCCTTGAGACCAAAGGTTCCCCACCCCTGCCTTTATCCAAGGTCATTAATAAAAATATCAAACAGCAGAGGGCCAAGCACAGATCTGTGAAACACTTCAATGAAAACTCCCTTTTATGTCAATTATCCTTTGAGTGTAGTCATTCAACCAGTTCTGAATCTAACTTTACTCCAGTCTAGCCCTTATCTCACCATCTCTTTCACACACCCAGTATGAAAGACTGTCAAATTCTTTGCCAAAATCACGTATGCTGTTCTATGTCATTCTCCTGATCTCTCAGTCTTACAAGCTATTGTGTCTGGCAATCAATGGCCATATATTTACACTGAGCACAGATATATATGGCACCCCTCATGTAATTCTATAAATATATGGTGACTAATTAACTTTTTAGGAGGTAGACACATGTTTTCCTTAGCAACAGGCTCCAGGATCTCTCTAAACCACAGCTTTTCATGCTAAGTTGGTGGGTCTGAAGCAATACCCCAGTAATGGTTTTGATCCACCCATCCCCTACATCCTGTCCAGACTATGGCAGGGGAACATTGTAGACCCTAGAGGCTCACAAGGTCTCTGGGAAGACAGGCCAGCTGGCAAGTTGCCATAGCAGAGTCTCACACACTGAACTCAGAATCAGAGCTAGGTGGGGCTAGATCTTCTGTTCACTACATATGATGCCAGGCAAGTCATTTGTTAATGAAATGACTTTAGGAGCATAGGCTTAGAGCTGTAAGGGCCTTAGAGGCTTCCCCTTCCCTATATTGTGAGAACCTATGAGGCAATATCTGGGAAGCAGTTTAGAGAAAGCCTAGAAGAGTATAATTAACACTTTCAATTTTAATGAAGTAAGAAGAAAGGTTAAAGCAAGGGTATTCAGGACCCTCAGCCACATAGGTCAGAGTAGGCCTAGCACATACAGGATAATTGGGAACTTTGGATGTTGGCTCATAAGGCAGACAAGTGATATGGTATATGGAGTGGTAGGCCTGGAGTCAGGAAGACCTGGATTCAAGTCCTGCCTCAAACACTTACTAGCTGTGTGACCCTGGGCAAGTCACTTAACCTCTGTCTGCCTCAGTTTCCCAATCTATAAAATGGAAATAATACTAGCATTCACTCCATGGACTTGTTGCAAGGATCAAATAAGATAATACTTGCAAAGCACTTTGCAAGCCTGAAGGTGCCATATAAATGCTAGCTATGATTATTATTTGAACCTTACAACAGGATTGTAAAGGAGGCAGGGCAGGTATTCCCCCCATTCATCTTTTTATTGTACCTACTACAATCATCATCATCATCATCACCATTATTACCACCATCATCACCAACACCATCATCATCATCATCATCATCATCATCATCAATAACAATGTTAACAGCTCACATTTCTATAGCTCTTATACGGTTTATAAATTATTTGCTTTCCCCATGCTCTAGATTAGTGCAGTAGCGTTTTCTTCATTTTGCACATATAGGAACTTGGACTCTGAGAGGTCACAGATAGATTTAGAGCTGGAAAGGACTTCAGAGATCATCGAGTCTAATCCCCACATTTTACAGATGAGGAAACTAAGTCCCAGAGAAGTAATGTTATTTGTACAGGGTCACAGCAGGATCAGGATTTCAAGGCGGATCCTCTACTCCTTGTTCAGCATTTTCCTCACTGGACTCCTTCCTGGATCCCTTCAAGGCTCAGTTCAAGTTCTGCTTTCTATGAAAGGTCTTTCATTTTTGTTTTGTCTTTGTATCCTAAGTGTCCAGCATAGTGCCTGGCACTTGGTGGACAATAGATACTTGTGAAATTGAATTACATCACACCTAATTAGTGACTTGCCCAGTATCACATAGCTGGTGTCACTAGTGCCCCAAGAGCAGAGTTCTTTCCATTATACCTTCTCCCATTGATCAATTCCTTCCAAAACCTCCATTTTGAGGAAGAGCCCAGACCAACCGTGCTTCACTCTCCAGACTTGGTCACCATGTTTCAGCTGCCTTCTCCCTCCATCCTTCTGACCTTCTTCTCCCATATGTGAGTATTTCTCATCGGTGAGTTCTAAAATGAAGGTTCTCTCCATTTTGATGAAGGGCTCAAACCAGCCATCTTTCATTTTCAAGGCTTTGTGACCATGCCCATATGCAAGGATCTTCCCTCCCTACCCTTCCTCTTTTCAGTTCCCTTTTGTGTGGTTTTCCTCCATTAAAATATAAGTTCCTTAAAAAAATGTAAGTTTCTTGAGGGCAAGGACTTTTTTTTGCTTGTATTACATCAATAAGGCTTAACAAATTCATGTTGACACTAGAACTGAGGTTTAAAGAAATTAAGTGACTTGCCCAAGGTCATACATCCAGTAAGTGACAGAGTCAATTCTCTTTCATCTTTCTCTGGTGGCAAAGAAGTCCCATAAAAAAAGATGTCACAACCTTGCCTTGATCATATTCTATTATTTCTGAACTCTCAGCATTAGGAAATTCTTCCATAGTGGTCAATAAGCATTTATCAAGCCCTTACTGTATGCTGGGCACTGTGCTGAGCTGGAAATACAAAAAAAAAAGGCAAAAGAAAAATAAAAGTCTTTCCCTCAAAGAGCTTACATTTTAATGGGGGAAGATAACACATGAACTGAATGGGAAAAAGAGAGGGAGGGGAAGATACTATGCAGGCACATAGTGAAGAAAAGTCATAGAGTCAGTAATGGAGTTCAGAGAAGAATGAAGAAATTGGCCTGAGCTAATGCTGAGCTAACTGAGGGTAGCCTAAGCATTTTCTTTAAAGGGAGATTCTGGGAGGAATTGACCAATCAGAGGAAAAGGCTGCAAGGGTGGAGTGATCTTCCAAGGTGAGAAGGCTTCTGTGATCTAGTAGAGGAAGTCCATACAGTCAGTAGCAGAGCCTAGAGAGGAATGAAAGGCTTTAAGCACTGACCCACACCCTCCCTGCTACAATTAAAGCACAACTCTGTACTTGAAATGAGTGTGGTCCACAGGGGTTAAGTGGAGTGAAGGTTAGGGTATAATTTTCCCAAGAAGCCCATAGACCTGGGCTGATCTTTTTTTTTTTTGCTTTTAACAATAGAAGAAAAAAAAAATAAAACAGGCAAGAAAGAAATGTTTCCCTCTCCCTCCCTGAGAAATGGAGTTGAGTAGTGCTGACTCTGACACATGTCATAATGTGGGGACTAATTATAACTTGTCCTGTTCCAGTCACTGCTTTCTTGGGCTCTGGGGCATGAAGCCAAACTGAGCATTTAAGCCTGATAGTTGGCATTGGAGCAGCTATCACCAGATGCTAAGGAGAGGAGCCTCTCCTTGGAAGACAGGAAACCTTCCCCCAGGGTATTATTGTTTGGGTTCTGAAATAGAAAGATGACTTGAAGATTCTTCTTCTGGGCTTCCTGATCTTCACTGGGAGCTGTTTGGGAAAGAGATGTGCTAACAAGATGGGAGGAAGCTCTTTAATGATATCTGAATGACAGCTAGATGGGCCATCATAAGGCCTGTGGGAAGATGGGGGGGGGGGAACCGTCAGAACGGAAGCACAATATTTTTTTTACCAGCAAAGGACACTTTGCTCAGCCCTCATTAGCTAACAACTGCTTCCCAGTCTCAGAATCTTCCTCTAGGGAAAGGGATTTGGGCATTGTGCCAACAGTGATGGGGCACCTTATAGTCATCTGTGTGAAGAGGGGCAAGTTATTAGTAATCAATACAGTAATCAATCAATTAGTGAACAAGCATTTATTAAGCAGATACCAAGTGTCAGACACAGGCTAGACACTACAGATGTAATGACAAAAATGAAGCAATCCTTGCTCTCAAGGAGCTTACGTTCTTTGAATGAAACAAGTACTTATATGTAAAATCAATATAAGGTGCTTAGGGAAGGAGAGAGGGCCCTAGCCTGGATCATGAAAGGCTTCTGGGAAAAGATGATATTTAAGCTGTCTTGAAGTAGGCAAATTAGAGATTTCTCTTATGATTTATCTGATTTCCCTCTTCCCCAACCCTTCAGGCTGAACTACTTAGGGATTCAGTGAAGTGTAGAATGTGATGAAAAGGCATAGAAACAAGAGATGAAGTTCTATGTGTGAAGAACAGAGAAAAGTCCAGTTTGGCTGGACCACAGAGCGTGGGAAGGGCAGCAAT